CAGAGAGAGCACCGGGGCGTCACGCTGGCGGTGAGCTGACATCGAGCTGAACAGACACGTTACACGGGACAGGCTGGAAGCAGCTGAACGGTCTAAATGGACACGTCAACACCCAGCGACCCCCACCTGACGAGCCAGCAATGACGCGCTGGGAGAGGCTGAGGCAAACCTTTCAAAAGTTACGGCTTCTTTCTCTTGTTCAAACTTCCTCATTACCATCATCATCACCTTATTAAACGTTAAAACCAAATCAAACCTGACAGCAGTCTGCCCTTGGCTACTGCCTTGCTGTCAGAGAGTTGCGAGCCCTGCTTACACCTCAGTTTGGGAAGGGGGACGGGGGCTGCAAAGAAGTGTTTCAAATTGACAAACGTGACGTTAACCACCAAAATTCAGTCTTCTGGATCTCCTGCGTCTCAGCTCTTTGTTTTGTCCTTCTGGTTAAATAACAACAATTAGACGACATTCAGGGGCTTTCCTGCTCACGCTTCAGTTTCCTCTCCTTGTCAAAACACCCTTTTTGCCGATCGAAACCGCAGTAAATATGCCCGCTACAAAGCGCGCCGCCAGCTGAATGTCTCTGTTCCAACTCATCTGGCAAACGCAGGGGATCGGCTCACACGCAAGGTTGGGGCTTTGGGGCCCAAACAGCTAAAAGGACCAGCCTTGGAGACGAAGGGGTCTTTCAAAGACTCAAGGGTAGAAAAACAGCATAAAGTGGGACACGGCCAGTTCGTGTTCGACAGCTCCAAGCTGCACAAGGCAACTTGTGCTCTAAGGATGTCGGGCATTGTGCTTCATTAGGAAACAAAATATAAGCTTTCCACTCCATTAGGAATGACTTTAGGAGTGAAAGCACATAAGACGACGACTCACCTCATCAACAATGCACTGCAATAACTGGAGAGGCTGCAATGGAAAGAAGAGAGGGAAAAAGTATTAGCCTATATGCAATATCTTTACAGTGGAGTGGAAAGAAAAAATCATTAATGCAATAAAATATAGCAAGATTAATCAACGGCAGCAAACTCTTATAAAAACATTGATGCTCAGGATGTTCTATTATTTCTAATGGTACCTAATCTAATACAGGCAGTTAAAGGTTTGCATTTTCTTCAAAATGCAATTTGCTAAGTTTAAAACAAGGCATTCAAGCATGCAGAGGAAGCAGCCATCAGGAAAAAGAAAAGTGAATTTTTTTCTGAACTCATAAAGCTTACCATTAAAGATCCCTGGTTTTTCTGAATCTGAAAAAAGGCAATATGTAATTAGCATGTCATAATCAAAATGACTCACTTGGACACATTATGATCACTGAGAGAAAATTATTGCATCGCTGGTGGCAATTTGTGGGCATGTGTTAACACAATTTACATAATGAAAATACACAAATGTTAATAGCTCGCTTCTCATTTATAGGCGAAAGTCAGCAGAATGTTAATTTCACACAACACTTTTTAGTACCCTCCAGGTTGTATTAGAATAGGAAGAAAAACCATAATCCATTTCAAAAGGCTGTTTACGATTCAGATATAAATAATGTTTTATATTGCTAGATTGTGAACACTGGGCTTAATGTTGCAATCATTGCTAATGTTATGAAGCTCACTCTTTTTAAATTAAAAACCGATTTATTTAAAATTGAAATTAAATCATAGTCAGAAATTAGAATTTTGGATTACTGCCAGACCCTGCTCACAATGCCTTTTTTGTGAAGAAAACTTTAATTATGTGGTTGAAGTATCTACCGCTGCTCAGGAAAGCCTTTAATACTCCACTTTTACCCAAGTTTCTTATCTATTGCAACCCAGTTTCACTTTGACTAGAAGTAGAGCACAGCCGGCTGTGAGGCTGGAAAGTTTGAGGAACTTTCTATTGTTTTAAATGGCAGCGGAAAGACTTGTCACCGGCCGCCTTGGAGCCTTTCTTTAACTTCAAACCACCAGTTTGGTTGGGAAATTAATTAATACTTTGTGGTGACAGACCATTCGATGGCTTTCAGAGTTTGCAGAGCTACAGCATATTCCGGCCCACGTTGGCAAAGCACCTTTCGATGACCAAAAGAAACCAAGGCAGAATGCCAACACAACGAAATACAAAGCACAGCGCAGGTACCCAACGCAAACCATCTGACTGGCTTTAGGGATGCCGGCATTCTGATCGTTTGTCTATGCAAACCATTTCTAACCCGGGTGGATAATTAACGACTTATTTTACCTCCACAGACACAAAGTTGCTTGCGACCCAACACAACCACGACGCGAACAGAACGCAGCCCTCAGTGAAAACGTTGTCTTCTGGTCTAACACGGTTTATTTGGCTTGCCCCTTGTACTAAATATTCTCTGTTGTACAGTGCCACGATGATGAATGTTGCAGGGCTGCCGTCAGCTTTGGAAGCGCTCTCCCCCAGCACCCATCCAGAGACAGGATCCTCTAGTCATGCTTTACAGGTAGTAAAACGGAATAGAGAGGAGGCTGAAAACCAGCCCCAAGAAAATAGCTGGTATTATGCACGTGAAGTCTTTCGTTATTGCATTAGTAGTGCACAAATATACACAGAAAGTTTCTGTGTATAATTCTGGTTTTTCCAAAGAAGAAATGAAAATAATAAATAGCTAGAAGTAGCCCATAATATTTTTTTAATTGTCAATGTCAATCTATTACAACTCAACAGAATAAATTTGCCGTGGTGTATTACGGCTAATAAGCAAAACATTCCGTGGATATAAAAAAAGACTTTTTTTCATACTTCACTTCCAGATGCTAAATGACAAAACAGACTCAGCTTATCCAAGAGGGATGATCTGAAGCTCCTTTAGCCTGGCGCACATGAGCAGGCGGTTCAGTTTTTCACCCGAACAGAGCATCAGTCACATTTCCTTACGGGGAAATAGGTCTTGTCATGAAAAGGAAGAGAGGTGGGATCATACCTAGCAGCCTCAACACGGCTACGATTACACCCGATTTCAGAGCCAGACTTAGAATATTACTCCGAATAGAAGCGCTCAGCGCTCCTAATGAAAAACAAAGCAACGCAAATCGAAGTATTGCAGAATTCTTCCCGTGACACTGCAAGTCTCCGCCGGAGCAGCAGGCCCAGCTTCTGTGCGAGGGAGAGACGTGCGCTCGCTCACACACACACATACACATCGTTACCGGGTTTTATTACACAATTCTGATGGCGACGTATTATTTTGAGATCATCTTCATAAATTTTGCATTAAGGTAGCTGTGCCAGTACCTGGAATTGATTCAAAATGCTTAAGACACTCAATTACTTTTTAACACTGTTACCCGATGTAATGACATATCTGCTATTTCCCTTGCATTTGATGATGCAACATCATTGTAATTGATTCATTTTCTCAATTAAATAAAGCTACTGTGCCTTCCTCTATGCGAATGCCACAGAGACTCCCCAGTTAGATGTATTACCTATTTTCTCTGTCTCAGATATATTGCTTGTGAGGCTGCACTGTGCTCCTCTGTTAACTCCACTGGAAAATGCAATGTTACAGTCATATTTTTCAACTTCTGAACAGCAATGAACTTCGCCGTATTTATATTAGGCGTATTTTTCACTGTTAAAACTCTGTTGTTTACCTTTTCCAAGATCACATTATTGGGCAGCCTCTGCAACTATAAACCAAACCTAACCGACGACAACTTTACAGTCAGTGCTTCTCCTTCTGCACACAGTTCATGAAAAAGTGAAGCATCCAGTTTTATAGCACATTAAGAACAGTTTTAAAAGTACTCAACATAAAATGTTTTATCTTCCTGTTCACCCACGCTCCTTTTTTTCCTCCCCTAACCGTCTGGTTTTCGTGCACTACTGGGAGGCAAGAAGTTCAGGCGGCAGGTTCACCTCGAGGGAGCCAAGTGCAGCGGCTGCAGCTCAAAAGCTGGGGGATTTGGCGTGTCGCTACCCCGTGCGACGCTCAGAAAACGCGGGGATCAGGAAGGAGACTGTCACTGTCATGGTTTTATACTCTCCACGAAGAATTCTCAACTAGTGAAATAGTACCAGTGACGCAGCTGAAATAAATCCCTGCTTGAAAGGAAGACAAAAACGGTTCTGCAGGCGAAGAGGAACGCTTCGCCGCGCTGGTTAACACCCCGTTCTTGTCTCAGGAAAGTCACTTCAAGCTTTTCGCCACCACCACACACCCCCGGCCACGCCAGAACAACGCGCGCAAGCCCCCGACCTGCTCACCGCTGGAAAACACAGGGGGTCAGAAGGTTTTGTAAGCTTTTCATACGCAGCCAAAATCGTGTGAATTTGCAGAATTAGATCAGCTATTTGATATTTTTTAAGCTGTATCGTATTTGCTGTGGGTTTTTTTCCGTAATTACTACCTGTGATAGTTTATAATTTGAAGAAGCAGGGCAAAGGAGAAATAAGTCTATCACATTCACTGTCCATTTCTTAGGCCATGAAATATCAGGAGTATCTGGATACACTACGCCGTAAAGCACATCTTCCCAACAGCAATTTTTTTATTTTTTTTATTTTTTTGTAAGTTGGTTAAAAATGCAAAAGTTTGCCTCCCACTTCGTCTACTATTTAATGAATGCCTCTGGTTATGAAAAGCAACTTTTGACAGACCATCAGGTTATATTTCCGTCTCCATGGAGATACTTTGGACGGGAAGTGGCCGAGAAGACCTCTACCATCCCTTTCCCATTATATTCACCAGCACAATCAACGGAACTCAAATGAATCCACCCCGGGTAACTTAGAGGAGTCACTAGCTATAGCTTTAATTTTCGCTTTTACTCTCTGGAATTAGGACTTGCCCTGGAGCTCTTGTTTGAGAGATTTGCAGGTGACCCAGGGTTAGATCTTCCCATATCAGTTAACAAATTTTATCTTTACATATATACTGCTTTTCGAGCTAGGGATTTTTTTTTTTTAATAGAAAAACACATAGAGCAACAAATCATACAGTTACGATTTTTAAGGGAGGCTTCACAGTAGAACATTTATTTTCCTAATCCAGGAAACGGTGGATTTTAAAAGTACATATAACTTCTTTTCAATCTTTACCAATGAGGGTTAAGTATTATTGAGCAGCAGAAACTACAAACATTGTCTCCTATTGACAGAGGATTGCCAACACGCACTTGCTTTGTCTCTGTCCTGATGTAAATGGAAAAGAAATATGTAAGCACACTGCATTTCCCCGTGGTCTTCACCACCATGGGTTTTACCCTGCCTCTGGAATTAAAAGCATGGTCTTCAGATATATTTTACAAATTCTTGCAAAACTGAAATTGGTTATACCTCTGAAGGAAGTCAAAGCACCAAACCAGTAAGACTGCCCCCCC